TGTCCTCAGCCGGATGGAGGGTGGAGGCAGCGCTGACTTTGCTCCCGGGGTTTGGGGAGCCGAGCCCCGGACGCCGGGAGCCTCTGGGCCTTGAACTCGACGCGCTCCTCCGGGTCTGGGACGGGAGGGGGCGCAGCGCGGTGTGGGGGTCCCCAGGGCCCCCTGCTGGGCGGGACGGACCCCCAGTGCGGGTCCTCGGAGCGGGAGACCGAGACCCCAGCGTGTGCGAGCGCGTGGCGCGGGGCGCGTTGAGGCCCCGGTGTCCAGGTCTGGGGAGGCCCCAGCGTGCTCCTGCCCGACTCCCGCAGTCTCGCAGGCCTGCCTGCTCCGCCTCCACCACCGGTTCCAGGCGCTGGACAGGAACAACAAGGGCTACCTGAGGTGAGGGGACCCCGACCACCTCTGACCCCACTTCCTCTTGCGTGGGCTCCATCTGGCGCCTTTGTCCCACCCCTGTGAATTCCGATCTTACAGCCGCGTGGATCTCCAGCAGATTGGGGCGCTGGCCGTGAACCCCCTGGGGGACCGCATCATAGACAGCTTCTTCCCGGACGGGTGAGGCTCTCTGGGGTGACGGTGCAAACCCCCGAGTGGGTGGGTGGCGAGAGGCTGGAGACAGCGGGAGCCCATCGCGGTGACCGCTGCCCCTTCCGTCCGCGCGCCCCAAGGAATCACCAGCTGGATTTCCCAGGCTTTGTCCGGGTCCTTGCTCATTTCCGACCTGTAGATGAGGAGGACCCAGGAGTGCGAGACCCCAAGCAACCCGAACCCCTCAACAGCAGGATGAACAAACTCCGCTGTGAGTGTGGGGAACCTCCCAAGCCAGACCTCAGATGCGCCCGCATCAGGGAAGGCCCCGGGGACCCCCGGCCCCCTCTGAGGCTCTGATGGCCTTCCGCCCTTCCGGGGTGACCCTCCGACAGGAGAAGGGGAAGCCTCACCGCCTTTTCCCTGCCTCTCTGCCTAGTTGCGTTTCAGCTGTACGACCTGGACCGGGATGGGAAGATCTCCAGGAACGAGATGCTGCAGGTCGGAAGGATGCGGGCGCGGAGCGAGACGTGGAGGGCGGGGTGGGTGCGGCGGTGCGGGGTGGCGGGGGACCACCTTGGCCGGGTGCGGTGGATGACGGGGGTCTTGGACGGGAAATGGGAGAGCGAGCGGGCGGGCTTGGAACGCGAGCTAGTTGGGGGTTGGGCTGGGGCGCGACTGAGTGTGAGGTTAGGAACAGATCCGTGATGCGCAGCCGGGGGAAATTTCGTCCCCCTGAGCGGACAGCTGGCAGCATCCAGAGACACGCCTGGCTGTCACAGCTGGGGAAGGTGGTGTCTGCCAGGTGGAGGTCAGCATACTGCTAGATATTGTACCATACACGGGGCACCCCCTGCAAAAGGAGTTACTGGCCCCAAATGCCGGTGGTGTCAGGGTGGGGCAATTCTGAAAGGGATGTAACGGGCAGGGATGGGGCTGCAGACAGAGGCGGGGCTGGGGCCTGGTGCCAGGCTGGAGTTGGTTCACCGGGCTGGGAAGCGGGCTTGGGCACCCTGTGGAGTCGAGCGTGGGGCACGGAAGGGTACACGGGGTCCCGGAGGGTGAAGCCCTGGGGGAATCCGCAGAGAGGTGGTGGGAATCCATCCGGCTGAGGTGAAGCGCGATGAGGGCGGATGTGGGATTTAGGCCGCGAGCTTGGGGTGGCGCGGGTTTGTGCCACTGTTTTGTGCCCGCCTCTCCCCTCGCCTCCAGGTTCTCCGCCTGATGGTGGGGGTCCAGGTGACTGAGGAACAGCTGGAGAGCATCGCGGACCGCACGGTGCAGGAGGCGGACGAGGACGGAGACGGCGCCGTGTCCTTCCTGGAGTTCACCAAGGTCAGGCTGCCCCGGGAGACGGGGAGGGGGATCAGGAGTCCCTCGGAGGCGTGAACCTGGGAAAGGACGTTCAGAAGGAGGGTGGGGAGGCAGGGGGCCCAGAGAATGCGCGGCCTGGGGCGCCTGGGGAAGGACAGTGGAAGCGTGGAGGGTGGGAATTCGAGCCTCCTTACCTGCCCATACCTCTTTTCCTAGTCCTTAGAGAAGATGAACATCGAGCAAAAGATGAGCATCCGGATCCTGAAGTGACCCACCTGTGCCTCCGGCGAGGTCGCGCCAGCCGGCATCCGCTGGGGAGTCATCCGGGCCACTCGTGGAGGCGGGACCCGCTTTCACTGCATTCTTCTAAACCAAGCTCTGCTTAGGCCAAGAAGAGCAAGCAGGACGGCTGTGAACCAAAGCTTAGCTCATTTGACCTCAGGTCTCAGAATCAGCCAGCTGTCTTCGGTTGCAAATGACTGAAAGTCCGTCTCACCTTGATTTAAGGGAAAAAAGGGACTTGAATGGCTCAGCTAATTAAAAAGTCTGGAAGTAGCTGTCTTCAGGCACCCATGATGTTATCAGGACTCAGCTTTCTCAGCTGCACCTCCCAGCTTAGTTTTCTCCTGTGCCGGCTTCATCCTCAGGAGGGAGGGCTTCTTCCTCACGGCTGAGAGGGGCACCGGTGACTCCAGGGAGGGGATTTCCTTATTGCTGTAGTTCCAAGCAGAGTGCTATCGCCCAGCTGGGCTCTTGCCCTGTCTCCCGGGGAGTGGAATGCTCCAACTGGCCAGGCCTGAGGCATGTACTAGCTCCTAGGAAAGGTGGTCTGCGGACTCAGGAGGGGGTGAGAGGAGGCCGCCTGAGGAAAAATGAAGTACTGCTATCAGGAGGACGGGGAATTTGTGTGTGTGTCTGTGTGCTGTTTTTTCTCAGGCAAAACGAGAGATACCCGTTCTTGTTTGGTTGACCGCATGGAGGACCCTGGAAATCTGGCTTCTAACTGGTGTTTCTTGATCCCGTGGAGGCATGATAGGTGGTGAGGGTTGGTGATGGGGGAGATGATGTGAAAATAATAAACAGTACATACCTTCCTAAGAGTGTGACGTTTGAAAATAGTTCTGTTGTGTTAGCAGGAAGAGTTTCAAACACCGATACAGGACAGCGCAGAATAGTGTCAAACTCACATCAAACCGGAAGAATCTAGGTCGGTAGCAAGGTACTTTGGCTGTCCTTGCAGGAGATGCCGTCCCTGTCTCCTCCCACGGGTGGGCTGGCGCTCTTTGTCAGCACAGGAGATCCAGCTGTGCTCACATCTCCACTCTGTTATATTGGTGGCTTGAAGTCGGCAGAACTAGGAATGTTTACATGTTGACACTGGCAAGTGTGATAGGCCAGGCTGTCCCCAGGAGAACCCATGGCACGCCTTTATCACGTACCACCTGCTTGGTACTCACCGTTAATCTGTGTGCCAATGGCTTCGTCAGCCTGGCACCTGCAGACTCTGGTTGGCATAGGTATGTACTCAATCTGTGCATGGGCAGGTTGGAAGTGCCAGGAAGCGAATGATCCTTGGAAAAAATTCTCAACCACTGGCAGATGAAAGCTGGCGGGCATCCAGTGCCTTCACACTTCAGGTGGGGCGGTTTAGAAGTCTCCTCATTCTCACAGGAATCTCCAGCAGATCTGAGCCCCCCATGCCCACGGTGTCAGTCTGCCTTCTAGAGCACCCTGTACCAGCTTCCTTCCCATCTTGTCTCACTGGCTCATGCCCTCGGTGTTCCTGGATCACCTCAGACGCTTACCTTCAGGTGCGTCTGGTGACCCTCAGCTGAAGACATACCAGATTTTCTGGAGCACAGGCGCACTCTTGCGTGCAGTGGCGTGTGTGTGTGTGTGGCTCTCTGGGGTGCACCAAAGAAGCCTGCATTAAAGGATTTAAACCCCGGCATTTTCTGATTTTAGGGAGTGTGAGGTTCTATAAAGACTGTTAGTTTGGGGTCTCAGGAACATGGAATGGCCTGCAGCAGATTATTAATCCTACTTCAACATTTGCATTTTGATTATGATTGAGTCAGACAGACGAGCCCCGTAGCTGGGGTGTGTGTGTGAAAAGGGGGACCATTTGGTTCCTTGGGGAATTTTGTGATTTTGTTAGAGGATTACCACGTGAACAAGCACTTATTATTATTATTATTATTTTATCATTATTTTGGTATTGGGGATCAAACTCAGGGCCTTGCCAGGCGGGTGCTGTACCTCTGAGCTATGTCCCTGGCCCAGCACTTTTTTATTGAGAAGTATTTGTTTCGCCTTTGACCCCAAGTAAAGAGAGAGAGTAGGGATTACGGGGAGTAAAACTCAGTGAGTGGCTGTTTTTCCAGAAACTTTGAGGGATTTGTCTAAAAGGAGGTGTAGAGGAGGGAAGGAAGGAGAGCGAGAGCGAGACAGAGAGACAGAGAGACAGAGAGACAGAGAGACAGAGAGAGAGAGAGAAGAGAGAGTGGCTTTTTTGTTGGTGTTTTTTCCAGGATAGAGTTACGCAAAATTTCCTGGTGGCAATCATCTGATTGAAAACTGCAGACCCTCTGGCTCCATTTTCGAGTTCCTGGGTCTCCAGGGAAATCTACAGCTTTCATAAGTGACTTCTGTGCTAGAGGTCCAAGATTCAACTTTTAGAAACCCTGGCCTACACCTCCTGGCTAGGCTGCAGGGGACCAGGATCGCTAACGGGTCCCCAGCACCCAAGCACACAGAACACGAGGGGCTCCCAAGGAAACCCCTCCCCATCATTTGTGTGCACACCTGCCCTGGGGAACTAGTGCTCCTGATCTAAGCAGGTACTGGAGGGTCTAGGGGGATCCCTAAGGCTCCATCTGCTGCCCTGGTGTGTGGGGAGCATACGTCCCCAGCACCCCTCAGCATAAAAACCTCTTCGTGCCACCTGAGCTCAAGACATTGGAGACCTTTGCTGTGCAGGGGAGAGTGGCAGTTGACACCCCAGCTACGGGAATGTTTCCTACATTCTGGCTGCTGTGGTCCGAGCTGCTGAGCCCTACTCTTTCCCCGTCAACTCTGATAAAAGTGCTCATGGAATTTTTGGGGGGTGGGGAGAGGGATTGGTGATACCAGTGGCAACCTTCTGTGAGATGGGTGTGCAGATGGGTCCTTCTAAAAGATTCCAGGACAGCTCCAGCCCGTCCCAGCAGCCTCAGTGGAACACCCTGGAACCGTTCCTCTCTGGGAAGTCCCTCCCAATTGATGCTGGTTTTTAATTTACAGGAGTGAGATACGATCCCCTCTATAAACTCATATATATATAACTCATATGTGTGTATCATAGCAGCACAGCATCACACAGCGTGGCATAACCTGTGACTAGGGATTGAACTCAGGCCTCTGCACAGAGCTACGTCTCTAGCCCATTTTTTTCCTTTGAGACAGGGTCTCACTGAGTTGCTAAATTGCCCAGGCTGGGCTCAAACTTGTGAGCCTCCTCCCTCAGTCCCCGAAAATGCTGAGATTCCAGATGTACACCTCCATGCCTACCTTCAGATATATAAACTGTTAACCACACACGGGGACCTCTTTGTGAGTGGCAGTTGACACTTTTCACTGATCTATCACCTTTAGTATTGCTGCCATATATTACCCTCGACCTGTACCATTATTCAGGGATGAGAGCCTGGGTATCACTTATCCAGAATGCTTGGACCCAGAAGAGTTTGGGAGTTTTTCCAAATTTTGGAATATTCACATATATGTAAAGAGATATCTTGGAGAGATGATCCCTATAGAAACATGACATTCACTAATGTTTCCTATATACTTTTTACATAAAACATGAAGATAATTTTATGCTTTTTTTCCTGCTACTGGGGATTGACTCCAAGAAGGACTGGACTACATCCCAACCCCTTTTATTCTTCTGTTTTGAGATAGGATCTCACCGAGTTGCCCAGGCTGAACTCAAACTCCTAATTCTCCCTTAGCTGGGATTACAGGTGTGGGCTACCACACCTGGCTATTCAACTTCTTTAGTGCAATTATATTTTGACTTTGAACCATTGCATGATGTCAGGTGTGGAAGTTTCCACTTGTATTGTCAGTTTGGTGCTCAAAATTTCTAGATTTTGGAGCATTTTGAATTTTAGATGTCCAGATTTAATTTTATATAATTTTTTGAGACAGGGTCTTGCTATGTAATTCATTTTTGCCTTGCACTCACTGTGTAGCCCAGGCTACCCTCAAGCTCATGGCGATCCTCCTGCCTCAGCCTTCCAAACGCTGGGACTATAGGTGTGTGTCACCATATCTGGCTAAAAGTTTATATATCTGAAGGTAGGCATGGAGGTGTACATCTGGAATCTCAGCATTTTGGGGGGCTGAGGGAGGAGGCTCACAAGTTTGAGCCCAGCCTGGGCAATTTAGCAACTCAGTGAGACCCTGTCTCAAAGGAAAAAAACGGGCTAGAGACGTAGCTCTGTGCAGAGGCCTGAGTTCAATCCCTAGTCACAGGTTATGCTATTCTATGTTATGCTATGCTGTGATGATATACACATATGAGTTATATATGTATATATATTCAGGCTAGTGAGGACCTTAGTTCAGACTTCTGACCTTGATGCTCAAACAGAAGGTAGCTCTGGGCTACCCTCAGTCCTACCCATTCAGCACCAACAAAACTCCCTTGATGCCTAAGAGGGAGTGTACAGGTTGGATTCCTGGTAAAGACTTGCCCTGACAGTCAGTGTGGTTAGTATAAATGAATTCTGGAGGCCTAGTCTAGACCTGGGTTTGAAATCTGGGCCCTTTTAGTTATCCGCTCTACAACCTTGGGTAACTAACTGTATCCTTGAGCACCTTCTGTGTAGGGAAGAGTCAGGTAATAGCGCTGCCCTGCAGAGCGGTTGGGCTTGTCTTTTCCTCCAGCCCACTCTTATCTCAGTGGAGGCCCTCGGTCACCTCTGTAAACCTGGACTCTGGCCTGTATCAGTTGGGATTTCTTCGGTTGTTAACCGGTTTATGAAAGAATACAATTTTATTGGTTTGTATAACTGAAATAAAAGTTCAAAGGTAGGCCAGGCAAAAGAGAGTCTCAAAAGTTCAATGATATCATCAGAAGTCCATCTTTTCGTTTCTCAACTCTGCCATCCTCTACATTGGTAGCAAAATGTCATTTTGAAGCAGAAATCACAATGAACAGTACGATATCTTTCTTTTCCACCCCTTCTATCCAAAGCCGCAGAACTATTGGCCTGCCCTCTGAAGCCAGGTGAAGGAGTTCTCTGATTACCCTTACCTGTCACGTGCTTTTCTGGGAGCTGAGAGTTGCTGTCACTCCTACTTGAATTAAATGCAATGTAGAGGCATGGTTTGTGCTGACCCCCTGGGGTAACACCAGAATGCTGTTACCTGACCAGGTTTGTCAGGCAATATCAGCAGGTAACTAGATACCTGTTAGTACTTTTTGCCTACAAATGATACGACTATCAACTAAGAGTGGTGTAAACAGTTAAGACAATTATCTCACGCTATAAGCTGTCTCTGATGGCACAGTTCTACAGTTGTTGAGTGGGGAATGAACCCAGGGAATTGTGCCTGTTATGCTGTCAAAAACACTTTCAAGGATCTAGGTTATTATGTTTTTCCATTTCTTAGTATTGTTGGCTTTGGATTCTTTTATTTACTCATGGTCACAAGTTGGTTTCTGAAGCTCTGGCCATCACATCTTCCTAGGAACGGCATACAAAATGTTTTATTTATTTATTTATTTATTTATTTATTTATTTTTAGCTTTTTGAGATAGGGTCTCACTATGAAGTTCAGGCTGGCCTTGAGCTCACTTTGTAGCCCAGGCTAGTCTTGAGCTTGCAGTGATCCTCCTGCCTCAGCCTCCCGAGTGCTGGGATTACAGGCGTGCACAACCACGCTCGGCTACAAAACATTTTTAAGTGAATGACTTAGGGCAGTTAAAGATAATTTCTTTCATGTCCCTCTATTTTGATCTCTTTTTCCTTCTGTAATGGGCACTGAACATAAGGCCTTTGCACTGAGCTGCATCCCCAGCCCAGTATTAATTTTTATGACCAGTTCTT